CAAACATATTAGCGATGTGCTGTAGCCGCTGATTAGCTGACTGGCAAGTTAGGACTATTGACCAATCAGAGCGGGCGTCTCATACACGCTTCGGCCGATGCACACAGTATGAAGTACTAGCGGGTTGGATCGGATCGAAAATACAGGAAAAAGTATCGAGGATCGGATCGAGGGAAGAGAATCGCGATTCGATTCGATTTCCGTGGATCGTTACAGCTCTAGTAGCTAGGATCTTTCTTCTTTTAATATCTTCTTCTGTGTTAATTTTCGATCCTAACTATTTGCAAATTTTTCAGTCATCACGGCCGTTTGTTCTGATCAGGTGATATTCTGTTTTTCCTTCATTGGTTTCTAGGTTTAGCTGGCATCTGAGTTTTGATGGTGTTGACGGTGTTGCAGTTAGTGGTTATCCATCCAATGTCCATCAGTGTATTGTTGTTCTGAGGTGAAGTGAGGTGTCTGTTCTTGTTGGCTGTATGTGTGATCAGGTGATGGTGGTGTTATGTAGACTGGTTAATTATGATGAGGTTTACAGTAGTTGTGTTCATTTTCGTTGTTTTCATCTTTTAAGCTTAGAGCACGCGCTAGGTAAAAAATGAGCATTAAGGCACTGACGCAGTTTCCCTGAGGCAATCCAATGTTTGTGGTGGTTATATCAGGAGTAGATAATAGGGATTAGTAGGATTAGATAGGATTAGTAGGAGTAGATAATAGGATAGTAGATAATTCCCTATTATCTACTCCTGATATATATATATATATGTACATATATATATATTTTTTAAATCCGTGGCCAGGCCGCCTGCAGGCCATTTCTATACGATCTTCTACGATCTACATTTTCAAAATTTTCTGGGGGAGGACCCCCATACCCCCCACCTCTTTCGCACCACCCTCCTTGAAATCCTGGAGCAGCCACTGTGGAGCGTAACAAATTGAGCACCTCCACTTAAAAAATCGTTCCGCAGCTTCTGCTATACCGGCCATAATCCAAACGTAGTTTGCGTACATGCAGTTGTTGGCTCATTAGTTTGCGATTCACATGCACTAAAATTCACCAGAATGCATGGAATGAAGCCTTTGTAACAAAAATTTCCCTGGGGGGGGGGAGTCCCTGGACCCCCAGACCCCCCCCATGCTTAAAAAGTGGCCTGACAGGGGCTATATTTCCCGGCCTGAATGATTTTCCCAGTCCGGCCCGCGAATTTTTTTCCCCTACACGTTATATCCATTGGGCTTGATATACGCATATCAACTTCCGCATCAGACTTTCCGTATATCAAGGAATGATGCAAAAATCCTAACACTAACTATAAACCGAATCGGCTTATATACTATCTATGGTATCCCAAACACTATCTATGGTGTGGTCAAATTAAAGCAGCCAATTAGAGGAGCCCAATGGATATAACATGTAGGGAAAAAAAATTCGCGTCCGGCCCTGCGGTCATGTGGGTACGGTAGGTTGGAACTGCCAGTCACCCGCTCATCATCATTTACTACAAGTTGCAACTATCGATGCATTATTTATTAAAATACGATAATGTAACAAAATGTTTATTCCACCAGGCAGAACACCGCAGCGATGGATTCGATTCAGCCAGCATTTTATGTTAGCGATGAAGACGTCACCAACGACAAATTGCCAACTACAGGACTAGAGTACTTACGCAGAGTGAGGTATAGCTATATACAGTTAGTAATGGGTGCTAGTGACTTCCTGTTGAGTGTTGTCAGTCTTTCTTAGTCATTGTTAGTGTTGCATATTTAAGGTTACGTTTGTATAATGCAGGTATTCACGCAAATGTCTGTTAGGGGTTTCCGTGAAAGTCTGGAATAAGAAATTCTCACGCATTTCTGCTCGCATTCGGAAAAACACAATTTGTATATTACGTATTTTCAGGAAAGAAGCTAGTACATGTCCAGACATAGTTGTTGCTGACCTAGACGTATCACCGTTCCATTGCAAACAAACAGTCAAAGTTATTAGTGTAAGTTTAAACCAATATATCTAGAATGTCATATCAGTTTTACTCGCTCAGCACTCACTCTTGGATCAACATGTGCGAAAATCAGAAACTTAAACTGATCTGAATTTAATTAGAACATTAATCAACACATCAAACTGAAATTGTGATTTGATGTTTATCGCAAATGTTCATGTTATTTATTTTCCCACACCTTCCGAAGGTGTATTGCAGATGTAGTACTTGTAGTACAGCGGATAAGGGATATAATTGTGCACTTTTCAACAAAAGCATAAAAATTGGCACACAGGTAGTTTAATGCTGCGTTTACACTATCGATTTTTGTCAGCAAATCGTATCGATTTAAAGTGCATTCCAACACACTCGGCTGAAATTCGATTGGGTTGGAGTCGGAGTCGGAGTCAAGTCGCCGAGTTGGAGAAATAGAACGCCAACTCGGCCTGACTCCGACTCCAACACAATCGAATTTCAGCCGATTGTGTTGGAATGCAATTGAAATCGGTACGATTTGCTGACAAAAATCGATAGTGTAAACGCAGCATAAGATATGTACATTCATATGAGATCGGGTACCCATCTCCATCAACATCACACTCTGTCTAGCTGTTCTGAATCATTTCATATTTTACATCTGAACACATTTCAGACAAATGGGTGCCAGCCCGCACCTATGGGATATGCTCCTTCACTGAGGTGGCAGCAGGTACAGGTGGCAGAATTTTCTCATCTGAGGCAGGTAATACTAAACTCAATACGCGTGCTTCAGTTAATGGCGGCAAGATACGGTAACGACCTTAGCAAACTGAGTATTTTTAGATCAATTTTATTTCCATTGCATTAAGATATTTAAACTATATGTATGTGTGTCATACTGTTGTTGTAACAAACATATAGTTTGTTATGTCAGGAGTGAAGACAAACAGACGTTGTGATTCATCCCTGAATATAGGTAAACATTTAACAAAGTTATTCAACACATTTTCTATGTTTCAGAAGCTGCTTCAGTTTAGAATTAGCAAAGACAAAGGAAAAATCACAAAGAGGAGAGAAGAACTAGTAAGATATCAATATATTACTCGCTTGTTTACTTGTGATCTACTTTTAATCGTAGTATAAAATAATAATAATAATAATATACATATTATAACTCTAATAACAGTTCAGATAATATTATCCATTCTATAATATCGTGCATGTTACACTTCATATTTCATAGTGCCGCTTGTGTGTTAAGTAATAATTTAGCATGAGCTAAAACTAGTCGATTTCTTGAAGCCAGATGCAGCAGATGAATTTGGCTGGTACCAGCTATGTTTTGGCCACAATCAACTCCACCTAGCAGGTTTTAAGGACATCGATATGGAGACGTCGTTAAGGCAGCCCACAAACCCATTGCTGAGTGTTATGCTGGCATTGGATCAGGTATTTGTGTCCTCAATTTTCTTCATTATTAAGGGAAGAGATGTGAATGAGTCGTAACCATCGTGTAATCGATCGTTACTACATCAGTATTCTCCGAGACAACTCGATTCAATTCTATGTAACTCAAATGTTGTACATACAAAAAAGAAAAGAAAATAGACGAGTATGCATTTAATATAATATATTTATGTTATTTCTATGCATTCTTAATTTTCAGCCGACGGTGGATGAACTGCTTTACAACCACATCAACTGGTTCCGGGAATCTGGCTTCTCACACCCACAGGTATTGCTAGTGAATGTACTCTTACAGTGAACACTAGAAAACGTCCTCTGACGTTCATTTTTCTCCTTCCTCGTCTTTTTCATCTTTATATTCGTTGTGGTTGTCTTCTATTTTTTCTTAGAGGCTTCTGCCAGGGAGATGATTTCAGCCTGTGTCAATTTTGTTTAAAGTGAATGCATGTGTAAAAGCTGGAATTGGATTGGATTGGATGCTGTGCTATTTCTTGTGTCACCGTGTTATTGTATCAATGCTGTAACTACAGTGTCACTGTGTAATTGTGTCAATGCTGTATGTATTGTGTCAGTGCTGTAAGTATCGTATTAATTACGTTTAATCATGTTGATGCTGTAACCATTGTGGCAATGTGTAATTTGTAGGTGTTGTAGTTGTATCGTGCTGCGTGTGTAATCGTGCATTCGCGCTGTGATTCAGGGTCAGTGGCTGTACGCGTTGCTAGCATGTCTGGAGAAACCGCTAAACCCGGAGTCGTGTCACTCACTACGCATCCTCGCTCGCCTTTGCTCCAGTCTCCGGGCCACACTGGTGAGCTCACTACCCGTCACGCTCCTTTACTATCACAGCCCAAATTACACTGCTATTGTCAAGCAACATTTAAAAATTGGGATGAATTTATGCTTCAGACGGCCTAACATCCTAAGCAGCCTATCATGTATCATAAGCATGAACTCTTGATAGCACAAAGATGTTCATGTGTTGTACAAACGTTATAACATATAATGATTCCGGTGGTGTTTTCTATTGTGTATTCATTGCTTTCATCGCAGGACACACCCAGCCATCCACACCTAGCAGCTCTGAATCTGCTACTGTGTCTCGTGGCGAGATATTTCGACCAAGGAGATATGTTAGATGAGTGACTTCACAGGCAGCTTCTACCTGCCACCGTAGGTGATGCCATTTGCACGCCTGTCGCAGTAAACATAGGTATTCATTGTAACCTACTACAGAGACTCCCCGACTTACGAACATTCGAGTTACGAACTTTCGATGATACGAACAATTTGCCCTGAAGTCCATTAGTGTACAATGTCAATATTGGTGAATAAAAAGACACAATTGCCCCCCTGATTTTGACTTTCGCCAACTCCTGTGTTCACGTATATGTTTACACTATGTACACTTCTAGGTTACTCGATGTTCACACGTACACAGGGTTTCTTTTGAGGGATAATGAGACAAAGGAGGTAATGGCCTTTGGGGAGGTTTGAGAAAAAACGCGCATGATGGATTCAAGGATAAGGATAAAGCGTGCCGTAGGCCGTAGGAAAAGTGTAGACCCCGCGTCACATGACTCAATAAACGCACATGGCAATCTAAATATGCCAGAAGCACGTGGTGATCTATTTATTTTTGGGTTGACACTATTTTGACAACGGCGGGTAAATAAATACAGGAGCATTTTCACAACGGCGATGTTAAATTTGACAGCGGCTGTGCGCCACTGTGCCTCTTATGTATAAGAAACCCTGGTACATATACTACACTACTGTACAATACTGTATACGTACGTATATATGTTCGACTTACGAACAAATCGACTTACGAACGACCGCTCGGAACCGAACCTGTTCGTAAGTAGGGGAGTCTCTGTACTGTGATTCATCTGTACATATTGAAGACTTTACAGTTGATTTGCCAACTCATCAGAGAACGAAAACCTTGCTATTGTTCACGCGACTGTTGCAGTAACTGTAGGTGTTCATTGTAACCTACTGTGATGCACATGTGCACATTTAATGTGCATGCCAGGAATCTGTACACAGAGGGGAAGGGTTGTATATAGACGAACCTTATTATGAAGTGTCGTATTTTAAATTGTTGAAAATCGAGATGATTAACTGCTCATAGCTGTAATGTAGCAGAACTGTGTACGGTCTTGTAACATTAACTAGGTATGGCCATGCTGTAAAGAGTTGATAATGCCGAGCATGTTGGTTAACATTAGCATGGCTTGACAGTTAATTTTTCATCGTCAACTCACCAGAGAATGGAAGTCTTGCGTTTATTCACGTGTGGCTTCAGTAACTGTAGGCGTTCGTTTTAACCTACTACTGTAATTTGCATATACACACTTAATGTGCGTGCCTGGAATCTGAACACATGAGGAGAGTTGTACATAGTAGACGAACCTTATGATGAACTGTCGTATTTTGCTATGAAATTCTACGGGAAAGTATGATGAATTGTTTGTAGCTGTAACGTAATTGTTTGCATCATCTTTTAATATGAACCATGTATATCCATACTGTAAATAGTTGATAATACAGAGAATGTGGTTAACATCAGCATAAATTGACAGTTTATTTTTCATTGTTAACTCACCAGACAATGAAAACCTTGCTCAAAACAAGTTCTGCATTCTGGTTTACCCTGACTGCTTATAAATCATAGCATTACCCTTACTGATAAATATTATTATTTACCCTGAAGTTTCCCTCATATTTACTCTGTTTTACCCTAGCTGCTCTAAAATTTCCCTATATACTGTCGGTAAGAACAAATTTCATTTACCTCGAATTTATGTTTCAATACATGCCTTGCATCACTACATCACATATGCCTAACATTCGAGAGCTATTAACTGTGTAGATATTCTGGCCCTTTTTGGCACAATATCACCATCCGTTACACTACATTTGATATGCCATCTTTGTCTACGCTATACATGCTCGCATCTAGTTGAAATGTACATGCTTCACTTGTGCTGCTTGGTAAATGCGACAGCCCGTGCTAACCTCGGTTCTAGGCACGTAATATACGGTCGCCAACCAGCGAAGGGACACAAGAGACGTGTTACTTACTCCACCTATAATATGCAGGATACTTACATAACGAGCAGTATGCCTCACAACCTTAAATTTACAGTACAGCATTGAGCAAGTACTTCGTGCTTTCGACAGTATTTCGTGTTTTAAGCTGCATGCCACCACGGCATGATTAGCATACTGTCTGTATCATTGTGAGTATAATTAATTCAGTCGTGTGTTCATTATCTCGTTGTAGACCTAATTATTGCAGTTAGTTTCATACGCACTATTATATTTTGATCTAACAAAGGATAAAAATATGACGAGATTGTTCATACATACCTGACAGCAATCCAACTCTGCTATTTCATTCTCCACTGCGCACAATTACTAAAATCAATAATATACCTACCCATGCATACGTGTTTTGAGATCAGATTACTTTAATTGAAATCTGAATGTGAATTTTTCAGGGGGCGAAATTATTTGGCAAATCTCCAAATTCTGCTCAATGGATCAAGCATGGAAGTGAGTGTAAGGAAGTGAGTGTAATATTACTGTAACCATGGCAATTCACCATTAGTGCATAACTTCAGTGAAGTGTTGTCAGGTCGTTGTGTCACATAACGTCTCACAGTGCAGCTTTCGTTGTACAGATTTTCTTTCTCTAGTTCAGTCTGAGCTTGATCTCAACCATGTACGATATCACACGAAGCTTTCGTTTTAGTACAGCATATCTTCCCCCCCCCCTTTCTTGCTCTCTCTCGCGCGCTCTCGTTCTCGCTCTCTTTCTTATTCTGTTCCACCCTTAATCTGAGCCATGTACCATATCACACGAAGCTTTCGTTTTAGTACAGCATATCTCTCCTCCCCTCCCTCTCTCTTTCTCTCTCTCGCTCTCTTTCTTGTTCAGTTCCACCCTGAGATCTGAGCCATGTCCCATCTCGCACTCAAGCTTTCGTTGTAGTACCACACTGCTCTCTACTCTCGTTAGTTCCGCTCCACCTTGATCTGAGCCATGTACTGTCTGTGCAGGCACTGGTTGATGTGCGACGCCTTGATCTCTGTAACTCCCGGCTCCGCGGCGTCCCCGACGTGCCGACTGCTAGGATCGCCCCCGCACGCCACGCCCGCTCCGACCACGCCCGCACGGTGGCCGTACATGCCAAGCTGCATGCACACGTTGCTGCGCTGCAGGCTGTGTCGCCTCGGGAAGGGGTAGTGCGTCGACTTCGTCGTCGGTCGCTGCGACGACAACGGTTCGCAGATGGACACGCTCGTCGTGCGCCGTGGCTTCACGTTGGCAAGTCCTGCGGCGGCACCTCCTCCCCATCCTCCTCCCCCCTCGCTTGCAGCAGTGGCTTCTCCGTCGTCGCTGGGCGGCTCGGCGGCTGCGGGACACGTAGCCGAGCGCGTTCGTTGCACGTTGTCGTCGTCATCGTCGCCGCGACGACTGTTCTCTCCCTCTTCGACGGAGTCCTCCGTTTCCCCATCCTGCGAGGGGAAGTCAGCGGTGGCGTACGCGGGAGCACCGACGTCGGCTTGCGTGCCGTTGCGCGCCTCCACCAGTCCATGTCGGTCCCCCTGTGAGGGGACGTCAGCGCTGGCGTGAGCAGGAGTACTGACGTCGGCCTGCGTGCCATTGCGCGCCTCCACCAGTCCGTGTCGGTCCCGCTGCGACGGCTGCATTGTCCTGACACCGTGGCACGGGTTTGCCACACCTCCCCGGCCACTCCTCACTCCCCTCCCACGGCCACCGCTGCTGTTGCTCAGGTAGAGGTGATTAATGATGATTGGAGCGCCTGTCATTGGCGGGAAGGTGCCGGTCGGCGGCGCGCGCTGGTGCTGGTGACGCTCGCGCGCTGGCTTTCGCTGCGCGTGGGCGCCTGTTATCACAACGCAAAGAATTAGTGAGTGAGTTACAGGTGAATGATGATCAGTAGGGCATATCTCAGACCAATATTTATGTACGTATATACGTATATAAGAGAGAGAGGTAGAGGAGGAGAGCAAGAGCAAGAGTAAGAAAGAGAGAAATAAAAGACAGATTTAATTCGACCAATTACATTTAAGCATCTATTGATAACAGTGACAGAGACAAAGGCGAGCGCAGACCCAATGCATGCCCCCTATGTTGTCTCCACCTCACCTGCCAGTATGATCTGTGCCTGTGCCTGGCGCTCCCTCAGCTTGCCGTACTGCTTCCGCAGTGTCGTGATGTCCATCGTCGTCCGCTCCAGGGTCGACTGCTGCCAGGGGCTACCCATGTCTGGCTGCGGCGAGAGAGCTCCCGGTGTCACTGACTGTATGTCGAGAATGTGCCCATCGTCGGCTGCAAGCGCAACAGTCACGTCAGAGTAACGCATGTACAAGCAAGTACCACCTTCCACACGCACGCACGCACACATTAACTTTCGCCATTGCAGCGGGAATATAGTGGGGTTAGTGGTAACTCACCGCCTACCACGTGCTTGCAGTGATAAAACAAGTGACAATGGAATCATGATAATTATTACAAGGCACACAACAATGTAAATGACAAGGCAAACAACAAAGCAAATAGCAACGTAAACTATAGGACAAACATCAAAGCAAACAGCACAGTAAACTATAGGACAGACAAAGCAAGCAGTAAAGTAAATGACATGCATACACAGCAAACAGCAAAGTAAACCACATGCAAAAAGAAAATGAACGGCAAAAAATTACAAAAATACAGCAACGCAAACAACAAGAAACTATCGCCAACGACGAGCAAAAGAAACAATAAAGCAAGCAACAATAGAACAACAACAACAACAACAAAACAAGTGAAAAATAAAGCGAATGCTAAAGGAAACTATAGGAAGCAAAGAAGCACACATCACACCAGCCCCTGCGCTCGCTCGACACTCACGCTCGCGCGCTGTACCTCGCGGCCGCGGCAACGGCGTCTGCGTCGGCGGGATCATTCCCGTGAAACAGCCGATCGTCGCCGCCATGTCGTCTTCCGTCATCTCCGTCTCGTCGTCGCTGAAGATGTTGACACGCTTGGCGGTCGAGTGCAGTGGCGTGATGTTGTACGTGTACTTCTCCCTGAGCTCCGTCACCTGTGCACGTGTGCGGTGAGCGTGGTTAACAAATAACTGCACAGCTGCCTGGTATTGAGCTATAAGCTAGGCATACTGACATGGCATAGTGGCGGTGGATTGCATCCCATACAGACAGTCCAGGCCTCTTATTTAATATATGAAATGTGATCATGATAGATTAAACCCAGAGGCATGTTGTAAGAAACATCATAAGTAGTTCTACGTCTACTTCATCCGTCTAAAACATTATTTTCGAAGTAAATTGAAGTGTTTTTTAAGTATTTAGAAGTACACCATACGTCTAAAACATTATTTTTGAAGTAAATTGTCTTGCAAAGGTTTTGTTGACATCCGTCATGCGCGCTACCTCGGGGAAGGGGAACGGCGCCATCGAGTATATCTCGGCGAGCAGGTCCTTGCAGTCGATCATGTTGAGCTCCAGCATCTCCTGCATGAGCAAGCCCATCGTGCCGTAGAACTGGTCAGCACTGTCCACGCCCTGGATCCTGCAAGGTGACCCATCACAGACCACATATAGTAGTAGCTTACATGATGCGGCAGCTCCAACATGGCATGGCTGGTTTTGGGTAATGTCACACAATGTTAATCGCTAACTTTTACCGACACAGGGGTGTCGACAGAGGACCTCCATCTCATGGAGACGGCCCAGTTACCTCCGCTGCCTCTGCTGAATCTGCGTAATGTGATGTTAATGGGATGTTTGTTTTTCAGACAAATTTCTTTGAATCAGTGATAGTCACCGAAGGATCCTGTATTTGAAGTGCGGTATGAAGGTATGGAATGAAGTAACGTGCATTGTGAATAATCAAACCTAGTTATAGCCACTCTTGATTACAAACAAAAAGACAAAAAGGACATCAACAGAAACGTGGCCACGTCTAGCTGTATGTGCCTCGACTATTTTGAACATATAGTTGGAAGTACGTGTGATTCAATATACGCTAACAGGCATGTGAACAGCAACGCGGCCACATCTGCACCACACGCTAACGTCTTGCTCATACCGCTACACAGAGCATGAGACACGGTGTGTGTGGTATCATCCATGTTTATGTGGTATGCATGTGGCGCAGGGCAATATGGTGGTTGGCAAGAATAAAGATGACTGAACCATGAGACAACATTTGTATCGTCCATCAATATCTTCCACGAGTATAAGAGTCTTCACATCAATAACTGCTACATGGTGTCAGAAGTGTCCTGCAAACACAGTGCCTGTGAGGGAAAGAACAGGATTCGGATCTACACGTCGATACCACGCAAAAGTTGGAGAAGAATTGCAGGTGACGAACCTCGGCGACAACTTCCCCCATATGGCGAGAGCCGTGCGTAGGATGACCTCTGACCCCTCGAGCAGGATCGAGTCCCACACGCGCAGCACGGTCGACTTCTGCAGGCAGGTCGCGAACAACGTGAGGAACCACTGCATGGTGAACACGTTCGTGAGCGGCGGTTCGTAGTGCGAACCTGTGGGTGGAACAGCAATCGGGAGGTTTAGTTAACGAGGAGAAGGGCATCATGTGAACATCACGGTACGTCAAGCGAATGAACGTCAATTCAAGTGTATTCAGGGTTCTACCCAAGAATTTCACAAGGGATGTTAGGTAATTGGGCATTTCATCATGGACTGCTAATAGCAGCCAACTATATGTATATATATATATATATATACATATGTATGTATATGTATATATGTATATACTATATGTATATTTATGCATTTCGCAAGCAACCTCAACACGTTGACGTAGATATCAAGCTGTAATAGGACAGCAGGTCTGTGTTGGGATAAGACATCCCAATTTATTGGACGTCCAAAATAACTTCAGCTTTGCGAGCACATCGGATCCCCGATCGGTTCTGACATGTGGTGAAGGTCTAGGGAGAACCCTGACATACGTGGATAGTGATCGTGCATTTTTACTCCAGAGTGGAATGTTTGCACATCACTACACACACTACACACTTGCCAAACACCACCTACGACGACCACACTTTATGCTTCTTCATAACACAACAAACCCCTTGAGACCAATCAATTCATCAGGCATGTGGTAAGGATTTAGTTTTACCATTCGAATCCTTGGCCGCATCCTGTAGATGGTCGAGGTGTCTGGCCAGCTGGGGCAGCTTCAACCGCAGCAGGTCCCTAAACACAGCCATGTCTACGGACAGCGCTCTTAGGTTGTTGGAGAAGTAGCTCTGGGGCAGCACGTGGCCGATGACGAAGATCATGATCTGGAACGAAGTCGGACGGGAAAGAAATGACATCCCTGTGAGTCGGCGAATTCTCCCAACGTTTCCGCATATGACCGTCCTTACTAACGACCGGAGGGGAGCCACGTGCAATATTAAAGAATGGAAACAGCAATAATTACGACAGTGTTACATTAATCAGGTTATAAAAATGTTACGAAAACGTTAGTTAACATTACGACAAGGTTGCAACAATGTTGCGACGACATCCGGGCAACGTTACGGCAACATATGACAATGTTACGACAACTTTACGACGCCGTTAGAACAACATTACGCGATCGTGGCACATTTCTCTTCCTGCTCGTTCTAGTAACACACAGCGACCTCTCACGCATCCACCCACAGATATAATACTCAATAGATCTCCTAGTGAGAGCAGGGAATGACCAAGACCAGTCACGGGCAGACACGACCTTGAGTGCTGACCTTGAGCGCATCGTCTTCCTTCCTTTCGACGACGTCCAGGATGAGTCCCGCGAGCACGTTGAAGCCCTGGCAGTAGCCGACGGCCTTGTTGAAGCGCGCGTACGCGAGCAGCACACGCTTGAGCGTTGCCCGGTCGTCCTCGGCCTCCTGGCCCGAGAAACCGTTCCAACCTGTCCGGTGCAGGTCCTGCAGAGCAATTCACATCAAAAACACATCGACGTGCATTCGATTAGATTCGTAGAGATGGATTAAGGATTGTGATTTATTGGAGATTTAGATTATATGTGTGATGGATTTCCTCACAGTCTGTAAGCAATGCTGGGTGGTATTTGAATATTTAATTTTGGGACAACCACTGACTTTGATACTGTGGCATCAATAATCATTGATTCTAATAATCTTTTTTATCTCTAAAATTGCAAACATAAACAATGAAATCGGAATCGAAATTCTGAGGATTAGCAGGTGGGTAACCCACCCAATTATATGATTATTGCTGCGTCAATTTTTGAAAAAAACACAGGGGGGTCGTAATCATTTGGGAGTGAAATGAAATTGAGGCAAGATGGCAGTTTCCAATGCTTTTCACACCTTGACGATTTGTCTTCCCAGCTTGTTGTCGTCTGGGTTGCTGCGCTCGTTGAAGCACACACGCTTCGTCTTCTCCCAGTCGAGCTTTGATTCGCGTATGTGGTCCTCAGCCAGGCGCAGCCATATCTACATGCAGGGAAACAGCGATGAAACAACAGCTGTGGGGATGTGACTGCAATGACATCTGTGCAATCTGTCAAACGCAGTGATCTGTGTGCATCTGTCGTCAGCAATCTATTGAAGAGGGCTCAGGCTGGTCTATTTCAACATTCACAGGTTGCACGTACGCACCACTTTACTTGCATAAACGAATTACATGCCACTGTGTATTTAAAATATTATCATTTTGAGAGTATTACTTGTGTAGTATAGCCCCAGTATAGCAGACCAAGCATTGCCCCTATTGGGTTATAGATCAGCTACAGTGCCCAAATACTATTCCATTGAGCTCATAGGGCGAATGGCATTGCCATGCAAGAGTGGTTGAACAATATTGACAGTCGTATTTCAGTGAGTGGTGTAGCCATAGTGCAGCAAGCAAGTATACATGGTCTGGTTACATATGTTACACATGAGAAAATTTTGTAGCAATAACTCTCGTGCAATTTTTACTATTTACTAACATTCCCTCACATATTTACTCTCATGACACCACATCCTTCTGTAGCAGGCTTTATTCTTTATAGTGACATTCACTCCATAGCAACTCCGTGCCCACTTTACAGTGAACTTTTTCTCTCTCTGCCCCCCCCCTCTCTTAACCCTCCCTCTCCTTCTAGTAACCGTCTTTCCTTAAATACCTTAAATTTTGAGCAGTCTTCTACCTATCACCCCTTTTTCATGTAACCTCACTATCTCATGCACTATTCCACATCATACATGACATAGAGTCTATATATAGAGTATATATATATATATATATATATATATATATATACAGGGGTAGAAATTAACTTTTGAACAAGGAAGTCCAATGGACTCCCTACCCTCAAAAAGAGGGAGTCCGCAGAAGAATGAGGGAGTCCGCAGTCTGAGGTTCAAAATTAAAAATATTAACAATAACGCATGTGCTTATTTTTAAGATTCATGCAGTTGCACGTCTGCCAAATTTTCTTTGCACATTACCTGAAAAAATACAGTAATTCCGCGAGGCCGTGCTCTGGAACGAAGTAAATCAGGGAGTATTTGACTCTGGACTCCCGTTAATTTCGCACCCTGTATATATATATGTATAATATAGAGTATAATATAGTCTACAAGGTGCGAAATTAACGAGAGTCCGGAGTCAAATACTCCCTGATTTACTGTCGGACTCCCTGATTTGACATATGCAGGAGTCCGTGACTCCCTGAAAATTTTGCCATACTAACTAGTTCGTTCCGGAGCAAGGCCTCGCGGAATTACTGTATTTGTTCAGCTAATGTCTAAAGAAAATTTGACAGACGTGGAACTGCATGAATCTTAAAAATAAGCACATGCGTTATTGTTAATATCTTTAATTTTGAACCTCAGACTGTGGACTCCCTCATTTTGTTGCGAACTCCCTCTTTTTGAGGGTAGAGAGTTCGTAATTGGACTCCCGTGTTCAAAAGTTAATTTCTACCCCTGTAGAGTATATATATATATATATATATATATATATATATATGTGTGCGTGTATATATATATATATATAATATAGTCTATATTATACATTCCTGATGACATCACTACCTCAACCCACCACACACTCGTACCGCACATCTACACTCATGTACACTTGTTAGGTACCACACCTCCACACTCACGTTCACATCGACCGGCACGACACGTCCCGGCCGCACACACGCACCTTCCTGCGGAACTCGTGTGGGATGCCCATCGGCAGTCTAGCCACGGCCTTGAGCGCGTGCTTCCACTGCTGGAACCCTTCCTCTCCTGCTGTCGGCTCCACGCTGAACCTAATCCGCGTGTCCTCACCTGCGGACACGAGAGAGAGAGAATCACGCGTGAATATATACGTACACCTCCCTCCGCCAGACGCGGTGCGCCCTCGTGTGGTCCACCTCGATTGGATGCCGTTCCTGCACTAGCGCCCCCTGACGAGTGACCTCAGTATGGCGTGGTTTAAGTGCCAGCGCCCTCTGTCCAGTCGTCGTCAGTAGGTACATACCTGTTCGGAAGTACCCGATGAAGTTGTCGCGTACGCTCGCCATCAGGGCGGCCATGTTGTTTCGGTGAGTTGCTCGGTCGTTGTTTCTCTGGCAATGCCGCTGCTGCGCAATTAGTACGTCACCGCCTGTGAGACGTCATCCTTTGTGTGCTTCTTCTGCTGTCTTTGTTTTACACAGCCCGCCTCAGGTGACGGCCGTATACGTGGCTGACGCGTTTAGATTCCTGTCTCGGTTTATCTCCGTCGTACATCGCTATAGGTCCTTGTCGAAGCCACAGCCATGGTGTGACTGTGAGATGGAGGCTCCGCAGCCACCGCTGCCTTCCACCATGCACCCTCTCACGCTGCTGTAGTCAGCGACCGTATGTGCGGTGTCTTTATAGTCAGCTTCTACTGCTGATTTCTTCTCTAGCCGTCTCCTCTGTCGTTCTCCTGATACTGTTGAGGATATCGGGTGGAGACGCTCCCGTCACCTGTTACTATCGCTCCACCAGCTAGGCTCGATGTCAATGTATTAGCTAGACTGGGTGAGCACGTGCGTACCTCTCGTGTCGCAGTGATTTCGGTTATGTTGCTTGCGGCTAGCGCTACTGTTGCCTCCTCTGCTAGCTGGTCATCTCGGCATTGCTGGTTCCACCGCTGGCTTATCTTCTCCTACGCCTAGCTGCTACTTCCTCCGCTAGCTGTTTCGCCGATGCTGCCTTCTCCACTACCTCGTCCTGTTAGATCCACGCTGTTCTATCGCTACCGTGGAGGATCCGGTTTGTTGTGATCCGCTATAGTGATTGACAGCAAGCCGTCCTCCATGTACTCACGATGAAGACTGCCTCACGCACGAGTGTGTCCGTGTCCTCACGCGTTCGCTGCAGCATACAGCACGTCTCCTGCCTCTCACTCGATCCCTCCGCCTCCTCTTCCTCTTTCTTTGCCTCGCGCCGCAGCTACGCTCGATCGATGCACGCGCACGCTATACGCGCCGTTGGTCAATAACAGACCGCACGTTCCTCTCCGTACGTTGCCGCTACGGCGATTCCCAGCAACCGTGTGTGTGTACACACACTCTCTCTCTCGAGTCTCACACACACACACACACACGCGTACACTCACGACCACAGGCGAGCTGCCCCTTGCATATACCTACATACATACACGCACGTGGCCGCGGTGTACTCGGCGCCGCTGTGTGGGTGATCAGGTACGGTCACACCGTGACCTACGGCTACGTTGTTAGCGTTCGGTCCGAGGATGCAAGCGACGTAGTCAGCCAGTCAGTCGCTACGTTTTCATTCAGTGATACCGTGCGCCGTTGCGCCGTTGTGCGGATTTTCACGCTATGACGCAAACGTCGCCGTGACGGTGTGCGCATGCGCGTTGATACACCCACGCGCGCGGAAGCCTCTCTGCTGGCGGGGCGCATTATAATGATATAACGCGCAGGCGCGTTGCGTCGCCGTGGGTATTGGCAATCGATACGGTAGCACGGCGTATTTGCGATGGAAGCGCTGCGACTACGTTTGTAGTCGCACGTACGCAGATGAATATATAAGTCGGGATCTAGTGAGATGAAATTCGATTTGTATATATACACGTAAGCTGTTAGATAAACGAGGAGTTAAGTAACACGCTAGCGAGATCCGATACACGTATATTACTAAAAATTATTAGAATTATTAAATTATTAAATTATTTAAAATTATTAGTAGGCCTATTACTTAAAATTTGTTTCCTCTACAGATGCAGTAGCTGATTTTATCGGTTTTCCGCCAGCGCTACAATCGCTGGCTTTGTGCGAGCGTACATCATCACCCGGTCGCGTGACGTCAGTGCTTGCTTACGCAATATCATTAATAAAACGGGATCGGAGTCATTGACATTATATTATGGTTAGATGGCAAACGCTAGTGCGTGCAAGCAGCACGAGAAATCGTATTGTACCCAGCGCAGTGACTGTATGTTACCCACGGGCACATGAATACATACACGCAGCCGCCGCCACGCATACATTGAGCCGTTTCAATAATAAAATGATGATAAATTGAATGAACTCAAATTGCATTTACGATCAGTCTTACTGTTTATTCACTCTATGACGCCTAATAATACTAAATAAATGCCGTTTAAATGGTCTCGCCGCTCGAACGCCACTATTTACCACCCCACAAATGTTGTCTCTTTATATTCTGCCTTCTGTTCAATATATATATATATATATATATATATAATACAGCAGATGGAATATAGAGAAATAGACATAGGGTCTTTTAGCCGGTCTTGCATGCAGTCCAGCATGTCTTTCACGACCAGCTGCCGCTTAATGTACAACAATGTGAAAACTGGTGTAAGCATCTGCCGAAGTGTTCTCCCTCGTTACGTGCAATTACGTCACCTTGACTTCAATTGTTGTCATTAATTAATTCCCGGGTCGGTGGGTAGATGAAATAATAATATATCAGCGAGCTTGGATAAGATGTTTTACAGTGACACAGACGTACATATTTGCGTGTATTCGCCATGTCACGGTAGGCGTGTGCATTCATTCCAAATTCGTGTTGATCGCTTAATTCGTATTAATTGACCGAGATCTAGTTCTAGTCGCATCAATAATATACTGCATTAAGTCCTAATACAAACTCGGTCAACTAATATACGAACGATTTATTCGGATATAGATATGTGTTCAGTAGGAATTCCAACATTAGGTAAGTTAATTGATGCCGTAGCTTTAACCGTGGTATTATGGGCGGTATGATGATGGAAATCGCTCACCATCTCATATTTGATTACCCCCTACCCGAATATTCGAAAGGAATGTGTAGCTAGTTGGAAATCAATCGCGTACAGGGTACGATATGTATGTATGCATATATAAATATATATATATATATATATATATGCATATATTATGTGATGTGTGTTGGTAACACACGATCACACACACACACGCACGCACGTACGCACGCACGCACGCACACACGCACGCGCGCACGTACGCACGCACGCCCACACATACACACACACACATACATATACATATATATATATATATACGTACATATACATATACGTATATATATATATATATACGTACATATACATATACGTACATATATATATATATATATATATATATATATATATATATTTTATATATACATATAACAAGGCACTTACGATGTTTGCCGGACATGGCCTGTAGCGTGGCGGTGAGCACGTCACAACGTGTCGGTCTGTTACTCGCCGGCGGCGCTCGCGTACCCGCAGCTGCCGCACGAGGGCGACGTTGAACACCTGTATGCGGTGGGTCGAGTTTCTCCACCCATCTGTCGCAGGTCCTCGATATCTGCCGATAGATGTCGATATAATCTCTGCTGATTATTTATTGTTAGCGAAATGAGCGGTAGGGAGAAACGTAGAGAAAGAGAGAGCGATAGAGGGCGAGAGAGGGAGACAGAGATGGGGTGAGGAGGAGAGAAAGAGCTAAACAGAGAAACAAACAGGCAAACACGCGCGCACACACGCACGCACGCAGCGCCACGCACGCACGCACAAACACACACATACAGACTGATTAAGAGAGAGAGAGAGAGAGAGAGAGAGAGAGAGAGAGAGAGAGAGCGAGAGAGAGAGAGAGAGAGAGAGAGAGCAGAGAGAGAGAGAAGAAGCGAGAGAGAAAGAGAGAGAGAGACAGAGGGCCGCGAGAGTGAGAGCGATACAGAGAAAGCGAGGTCGCGAGGTCGTGGGAAAGAGAGAGAAAGAGAGAGAAAGAGAGAGAGAGAGAGAGAGAGAGAGAGAGAGAGAGAGAGAGAGAGAGAGAGAGAGAGCAGAGGAGAGAGAGAGAGAGAGAGAGAGAGAGAAGAGAGAGAGAGAGAGAGAGAGCAGAGAGAGAGAGAGAGAGAGAAGGGGCAGGTTAGGAAGGTAGGGAGGGAGGGAGGAATGAGCGAAGAGAGATACACAATTTTAGTCAACGATACACCGCTGGCGAATACTGGGTAAAAATCTAACGTATTTTGTATTATTAGTTATTGTGATGGCATATCGTAGTTTCATGCGAAACACGGGCTGTCCACTCTTCGGTGACACTTACACGCCGCAAAATCACATAACTCAACCGTCATTCGTTAGTTTACGGCGAATGTCAACGCATTTTCTGTGTGATTACGTGTCTGAGGCAATAATCAATATATGCTATATATACGAATGATACACATATATAACGGAAGCCCCGCATTCTCAGATGTTGGTGGAAAATTACCGGCTATTGCCAACAGATGGCAGGCACAGTGTACTATTTCGACACAAGCGGTTGTTCGCACCATCGCGAAATGCGTGGGATTTCGTAAAGTGGGTGGTTATAACCTCATGCGCGCATATTCCGGTCATATCCATATTACGTGATGGTATGCTAAAAGTTTTCATCAATAAAAAAACGTTGATCATCAATTATTCTTTGTAGCAGGCACGCTTAAAAGGCAACACGTGTTCCAATATATGCAACGGTCGCTCGGCGTCTTTATGCGTGCCTAATTTTACTATTTTTCTAATTGTCATCGTTATCTTCATCGCTCTATCAAGTGATAAGCTCGTAAAAGCCACACAGGATAACGTATTGAGGATCAGTCCCGCTAGGGGACGTCGAACGCCTCCGTTTACACGCTATCTATTTTTTCTCAAAATGTACTGTGAGATCCGAGTTGAAATAATTTCCAATTACATCGAGGAGTATAACAGTTAAATAGAGATTCATTGTGCCGGGTGCTTGACGATGGATGGACGCATGCAGGATGGAGCGCTGCGGCCAGCAGCAGAAGAAGACATCTGCTGCCAGTCGGAAGTGATAACTCTATACTCGAGGCCACTGAAGGTGTTGATAAAGCCGCTACAGTCGCACTGCGCATGGAGAGGGGGAGGGAAGGGGAGAGAGAAGGTGGAGGAGGCATGAGAGATGATACGAGAGTGAAGCATCGACAGCGAGCGATGCATTAGAGAGTGAAGCATCGACAGCGAGGCGATATAAATATAGAGAGGTAAGAAGTCGAATAAAATCAGCGTGGGGGCAGAGATGAGAGAAAGGTGCCGAAGAGAGAGAGAGGGGGGGGCGGGAAGAGTACAGACTAGAGAGAGAGCGACAGCGACAGAGAGAGAGAGGGTGGATCGGGTTTGGAAATTGATAATAGGTTACGGTACTGGCGGTAAAATATGATTAATGATTTTTCGACTCTAAAAAAAAAAAAACTCGTATACCTGGCCTTATTAGCGTTTAGTGTCATTAGCTCTATAATACGCTAATATGTTAATTAACGCCATAATACCTGTGATAGAAGGTGTGCGCGTGCACGTGTACACTCAACGTCTAAGAAAAGAGGGAGGGGAATTAGAGAAAGGAGCGAACGAGAGAGTGGGGATGGAGATGGTTGGTGAGCAAGAGAGGCAGGGCTAGAGCGAGTGGGAGAGGGAGAAGAGAAATGGATGGAGGGGGTACGGCAGAGGGAACGAGAAAGTTCAAGAGAGAGGGAGTGAGAGAGAAAGAGAGAGGGAGGAAGAGAGAGAGAGAAAGAAAGAGAGAGAGAGAGTGGGTGTGTGTGTGCGTGCGGTGCGTGCGTGCGTGCGTGCGTGTGTGTATGTGTGTTCGGTGCGTGCGTGCGTGTGTGGTTGTGCGTGTGTGAAAGGGGGAGGGCGAGAGTCAGACACAAAGAGGGAGAGATTGAGAAGAACAACGTGTACAAGAAAACAGTGAATCGAGCTTCCCATATTTCATCTCCATGCGCAGCACAAATCTATAGCAGTGACGTACGGTGTATATACACACCGGTTGTCTCCATGCAGGCGCGCTTCAGTCGGACCGGATTCGATCGTTCATACTCGGACGACCGGCCGGGCAGCGCGTCGCTCGTACAGGACGATATGCTGTAACCATCGCTATCAAAGCTGTCCCTGCAACACACACACACACACACCCACGTATATCACCTATATGTAACGACAACAGCTTCACGGCCGCCTGGCTATTGGTACGGTGACGGTCATAGGTACACATTCATTCAGCAGATTCATGTATAGGAAATAGGCGTGCATGCATAAAAAATGAGAGCATTAAAACGCAGAGGTCGGCAAAGGTTGTTTATGAACCGCCTCGCTTGTGTGGATTTATTTTGAGAGGCAGGGTGATTTCTTGATGAAGATGGTTCTAAACTATAGGTAGTTTAACGTAACTTTATTGTTAGGTGTAATAGGTTGATGTTGGCGCGTTGTCTGTACTGCCAGCGACGGTCCCATATCGCGAATTTCATCCTTGAATGACCTTTAAAGGACCCTGAAACACTCGTGTGTCATCACGTGTCGGCCGACCTGCGTCTGTGTGTTTTTGATATGTCAACGTTGTAATTAATCGATGAAAACACCCATAAATTCTCATTAGATTTGCTCGAAAATAAAAATGCCGCGCAACCAGTATCAGCATTATACGGAGATACGATAGAGTGGGATATTGGTTTGTTTACGATAGTTTCTTGCGGTGAGAACATACGCAGATGCGCGCGCCACGCATTCCCTTATCTTGTCTAATGTCACCATACCTGTCAAAATACGGTGCTGATGCTTCCATAAGTAGATATACTTGTGTTTCCGGTAAAGAGTAAACAAGTGCGACACACACATTCAACCCACCACGACGTGGTTCCCGTGTATTATAGGACACCCAGTCCGTAGTGATGGGAGATTTAGATTGAAGATAAGGTAGATTAAGATAAAGAATTAGGTTATTGCGAGCATTAGGGATATGATTAGGTTTAGGGTTAGTGCCACTTTTACAAAAACTCTAACCCTACTCTAACTGTAACACTAATCCTACCCTAACCACAACATAGCATTAACACTAATCCTACCCTAACCACAACATAGCATTAACACTAATCCTACCCTAACCACAACATAGCATTAACACTAATCCTACCCTAACCTTCTACCGTCCCCCGTCTCTCTCTACCTCTCTCTTCTTCGGCGCTCTCTTCTCTCCATCTCTCCATCCTCTCTCTCTCGCTCTCTCTCTCCCTCTGTCATCTCTCGTCTCTCTCTCTCATCGTCTGCTCTCTCTCTGTCTCTTCAAACTCTCTCTCTCTCTTCTCTCTCGTCTCTCTCGTCTGTCCTCTGCGGTCTCTGTCCTCCAGTCCGTCTCTCTCTCCTCTTGTCGTCCTCCGTTCCTCCTCTCCTCCTCTCTCTCCGTCCAGTCTCCAGCCTCTCTCCTCTCTCGTCTTCTTCTCGCTCTCTCTCTCCTCTCTCGGTGTTCTGCATGCTCTTCTCTCCTCTCTTCAACCTAACACTCGCGACCGGCCGTGCTGGGCGCGCTCGCTTCTCTGTAGTCGCGTCTGCGAACTGGCTGCGCGGCGCACTGACGGCTTTCTTCGGCCTGTCTGTCTCGGTGTCTCCGTCTCTCTCTCCGCGACCGCTCTCCTGCGTCTCTTTCTGCTCGTTCCTCGTCTCTCTCTCATCCTCTCTCTCTCTCCTCTCTTCTCTCCTCCTCCTACCTCGCTCCTCTCTTGGCCTCCCTCTCTCTCATCAATCTCCTCTCTCTCTCCTTTCTTAACAGTCTGTATGTGTGTGTGTGTTTGGTGCGTGCGTGCGTGCGTGCGTGTGTGGTGCGTGTTTGCCTGTTGTTTTCTTCTGTTTACTCTTTCTCGTCCCCCCTCCCCCTCTCTGTCTGCACCCTCTCTGCTCTCTCTTCTCTACGTTCTCCCTACCGCTCATTTCGCTAACAATAAATAATCAAGGCATGAGATTATATCGGCATCTATCGGCAGATATCGAGGACCTGCGGACAGATGGTGGAGAAACTCTCGAGCCACCAAGCATAGTGTTCAACGTCGCCATCGGAGGCAGCTGCGGTACGCGAGCGCCGCCTTGGCGAGACAGACCCGACAGTGTGACGTGCTCACCGCCACGCTACAGGCCATGTCCGGCAAAACACGTAAGTGCCTGTTATATTTATATATATAAATATATATATATAATATAGTATATATATATATATATATGTATTTGTGTATTTGTGGCGCGGCGTGCGTGTGTTGTGCGGGTCGTGCGTGATGCGTGCGTGCGTGTGTGTGTGATCGTGTGTTATCCAAACACACATCACATAATTATATGCAGATATATATAACTGCCCATACATACAGTTATTGAACCCTGTACGCGATTTGATTCCAAGGGTGGGGATAATAAAATAGCGAGTGCGTAAGCGATAGGCAGTCAATCTAAGATTACCTAAGTGGGATGCTACTGGACGCACAATATCTATAGTCCAGAATAAATCGTTCTATATTAGTTTGACCGAGTTTGTATTAGACTTCATGGCATATATTAATTTGATGCGACTAGAACTAGATCTCGTTCAATTAATACATTATGCGGATAACACGAATTTGAAAATGCCGCGCCTACCGTGCCATGGCGATCACGCGATATCGTATCGTCCTGTGTCACGAAAACACATATCCATAAAAGCTCCGCTTGATATACTATTATTATCATCACCACCGACCCGGAAATTAATAATGGACAACAATTGAAGGCAAGGTGGCGTAATTGCACGTAACGAAGGGAGAACACTCGTGCAGATGCTTACACCAGTCTTCAACATTGTTGTACATTAAGCGCAGCTGTCGTGAAAGACATGCTGGACTGCAGCAAGACGGCTAAAAGACGCCTATGTCTATTTCTCTATAATCCATCTGCTGTAGTTATAATCTATATAATATAGTATATGACAGAAGGCAGAATATAAAGAGTACAACATTTGTAGGGTTGTAAATAGTGTGCGTCGAAGCGCGAACCATTTAAACGGCATTATTTTAGTATTATTAGGCGTCAGGAGTGAATAACAGTAAAGTACTGATCGTAAAATGCAATTGAGTTATTCGATTTATCACTATGTACTTATTGAAACGCTCATTGTGCCCTGGTAACATACAGTCACTGCGCCGGGTACAATAACGATTCTCGTGCTGCTGTGCACGCACCTAGCGTTTGCCATCTAACCATAATATAATGTCAAACACTCGATCCGTTTTATAAGATATGCGTAAGCAAGCACTGAACGTCACGGAACCGGGTGATGACGTGCTGCAAAAGCCAGCGATTGTAAGCGCTGCGCGAAAACCGATAAAATGCAGCTACGCATCTGTAGAGGAAACTTTGTTTTTTAAAAGTAATAGCCTACAATAATTTAAAATAATTAATTAATTTATATTCTAAATAATTTTTTAGTAATACCGTATATCGGATCT